CTCGGGCGCCGAGCGCCGCCCCCTCCCCCCAAGGCCGGGCTGGCCCCCCGAGGCAATGCACCCACACCCGCAGCGACCCCAGCAGCGGCCCGGCCCCCAGGCGGCCCATGGTGCGCTCCACAAGAGCGGCCCGCCCTGACGCTCCCCTCCGGCCTCCGTAGCCAAGCCCTCCCGCCGCCAGGGACGCTGGGAATCGTAGTTCCCGCGCGCCTTCCGCCCACAGAATGCTGTCCGCTTCTCGGTGGCGAAAATCAGCTTTATTTCATTTTTTATGGTATAAGAGGAGTGACCAAGAGGTTCCCCCTCTCATTTTCTCTGGCGCGTGCCTCCCCCCTGGGGCTGTCCGGCCGGGTGCTGCGCCTGGTTCTGGGAGCAGGGAACCCCGTTAAGTGCTCTCACTGGGCACGTCCGGCAGTGGCTCGCCTGATTGAACCTGCTCTTGCCCCTCCTCAGGGAAGGCTGGAGTGATGGGCTCGAGGCTTGACTCCTCGGCTGGGAGTTCTGGGGCTGCCGCTGGAGCTGTGAGCTCTGGCGCTGGCTCCCTCTCATCCAGACTGAAGACCGTCTCTTTCTTCGGCAGGATAAAGGCGAGAGGCTCCTGGACGATGCTGATGTTGACATGCCCAAGGTTTCCGTACTTGGAGAGCTGAGTGGGTGGAATGCCTGACCCGGATGGTAGGCAAAGTAAAATGGAAAAAAGTTTAATAAATGTGAATACTGACATGTCACATGAAGTAACAGTCACAGTTACCATATTTCAATACAGTGAGCCATTTTGTGACATGGGAGACGAAGCTATACTGTAAAGCCAGGCTTTGAAGGTAATCAGGCAAGCACAGCAGGGCGGATGGAGTGAGGGTCAAGAGAACCTCAGTAAGCAGCACTGGCTTCCCTGCGACAGGCCCAAGAGAAAAGCTGGGGGGAGAGTGGCCAGCAGCCACTGTTGCCTGGTGCGATTACTGGCCCGTTGCCCTTGGGGAAGTTCTGCCTCCCCCATCCCCCGCTCACCATCCCAGGGGCAGAGAGTGGGTACAGGGAAGTGAAGGCAAATCGGAAAATCATACAATATCCGGTTCCTTTGGGATTACAGCTCCTTCCACTTAGCCAGCTAAATACACTTATGATTCCATTTATATGAAATGTTCAGAAAGGCAAATCTGTTGCATCAGAAAGTACATTAGTGGCTGCCAGGGGCTAAGAGTGGGTCTGGGGAATGACTGCATTGGGCATGAGGGATCTTCTGGGGGTGATGGAAGTGTTCGAAAATTGAATGGTGGTAATGGTTGTACACTTCTGTACATTCACTAAAACACAATGAATTTTAGAAATAGATGAATGAATTAGTATGTGAATAAGATCAACCAAGTAGTTTTAAAAATATTTCCTCCTTTCTCTTACCTAATGTCTGTGCTATCTGCGCTGGTGGGAAAAGGACTTGGAGACAGCGATTTAAATACGGAACGAGGTCCTCCAGGAAGGCAGTGCAGAACTGGATGAAAAGCTCTCGCTCCCCATTGGTGAAGGCAGCCTCTTCAGCACGATGGAAGCCCAGGATGACTCTGGTTACCTAGGCGACAAAGGCACCAGCAATCACTGCGGTGGTCTGTCACACCATCTATGAGTAGTCTGTCACTATCAGCAGTGCAGGAAACAGCACAAACGTGCAGCCCTCAAGTTTTCATGAAGAAAGCTGCTCCAAACAGTACATTATCGTACTGTTTTGTTTAAAGTCAGAACTGTAATCACTTGTCACAATTCTGTCATTTCATTGATGTCTTTCTGACCCAACTTGTTTCATTGTAGTTGCTTGTTCCAGTGAAAGAAGAATAAATGGTTCTTGACTCCCATGGGAGACTGTCCAGAACTATGTTGGATCCAGAAAAATGAAGGAAAAATTATAGAAGGTTTTACTGAGTAAAGCCAGGAAGCTAGGTCACTAGAAAATTGTAAAGGAAGAAGGAAACAGAGCTGGAAAGGAAGTTCCAAATACAAAGAACAGAGCAGCCTACCCGGCATCACAGACAGGCGTCATGCTAACAGGATTAACAACAGACTCTGGTGCTAGATGTCCTGGTTCAAGTCCTCGCTATGCCACTTGCTGGTTCTGTGACTTCCAACTTACCTGGTAAGCTCTCCATCCCATCTCTGTGCCTCAGTTTCCTCATCCCTTCCCTTCCTCAGCTTCCTCAACAACAGGACCTACCTCATAGAGTTTTGAGGATCAAATCTTAATATGTGTAAAGTATGACGAATGTCTTTGACATGGAGTAAGTTCTATACAAATATTAGCTAATTATTATTACTTGAATGTCAGACTCTAAATGCGCTAGCCGGTGTAGCTCAGGAGGTTGGATCGTCATCCCTTACACTGAAAGGCGGCAGATCTGATTCCAATCAGGGCATATCCCCAGGTTTCGAGTTCAATCCCTGGTCGGGGCGTGTATAGGAAACAACTGATCGATGTTTCTCTCTCACATCGATGTTTCTCTTTCTCAAAAAAAAAAAAAGAAAAAAAGTGCGGCATAGTAGGATATTACAGTAGTAATAGCATTACTTGTGTTAGGCAGCATTCTAAAATAGCTTGTGTCATTTCTATCCCCTTGTATCCACTTCTTTGTGTAATCCCCTCCCCTTAGGTGCAGGCAGAATCTGTGGCTTGTTTCTAACCAATAGCAAATAGCTAAGCTGGGGAGAGCAGGGTATCGGGGGGAAATGGTGATGGAAGGAGTCTTAACTTGGGGTGGAGCACACATACACAGTATACAGATAATGTGTTGTGGAACTGTGCGCCTGAAGCCTGTATAATTTTGTTATCCAGTCTCACCCCAATAAATTCAATTAAAAGAAAAAAAAATATGGCCAAGGTGAAGGATTTTGCAGTTGTAATTAAAGACACTAATCAAGTGACTGAGTTAATCAAAAGTGGGCCAGATTTAATCAAACGAGCCTTTTCAGAGAGGGCTGATGACTTCCCTAAAAGAGATTTGTGCAGGAGACACTCCTCCATTGGCCTTGAAGAATCAGAAAGCCACGTAGGAACTGCCTATGGAATGGGACGGCCTCTAGGAGCTGAGGGCCTCAGTCCCTTAACTGTAAGGAACAGAAATCTGCCGAAGTGAGTGCGTTTGAAAGGGGAACCCAAGCTCCAGATGAGACCACAGCCTGGCCGGCACCTTGACTGCAACCTTGTGAGATTTTGAGCGGAGGACCCACGTATACTGCGCCCGGACTCCTGCTGCACAGAAACTGGGAGATGATAGATATGTGTGGGAGTTCGTTATTCAGCAATAGAAAACGAATACATTACAGAATCGTTACTACAGGTGAGCCACTTTGTGGGCTGTTTTAGGTTCCATGAAGGGGGACTAACCGGCGAAAAGCTGCTCGGCCATGATAAACCTCCAAAGCCACACTAACCCTCTCCAAGTCAGCAGTCACCGCTGTCACCTGGGCTGGCTTATTACCAAAGTCTGGCCTTCTGTAACCAAAGACGGTCCCCACAGAGCCCAACAGTACGTGCTCACCTTAGCAAGGGCGTCCTCCAGGACCCCAGTCACATCCTGCGCCAGGGCGATGGGGCAGCAAAGGCGCAGATCATTGAAGGCGACCAGAATGTTGTTGAGGAAACAGGCCAGGGGTGGGAAGTCCAAGAGCACCATGGGCGGCTGCAGGGTCCCCGGCTGAGTCACTGGCACGGCAGCAGGCAGGTTGCTGCTGCCCAAAATGGCTGGCGCTAAGATGAGGGTGTAGGAGTTCATTTCATCTTGGAACTTCTCCACCGCCTCCTGAATTGCCTTCTGGAAAGTGCTGATAGCGACCTGCTGGAAGACAGGAGCCAGCTGGCCCCGGAAATCAGCGCCCACCCGGCTGAAGGACAGCCCAAAGTACATGCACTGGCCCAGCAGGGAGTCCAGGCGGCCGCCTATCCCCCGGTGAAGGTCGGTTTCCAGCACCTGCAGGAACTGGGAGACTTTCTGCAGGACCCAGCCATGGAAGATGGCACTCTCGTTCACGGCGTGCTCCCCCGTGGCCGGGGACAGCAGCGGGTCCTCGTCTGAGAAGATTGCGCGGTACTGAGTGATGATATCGAACAGATGGACCCGGCAGGCCTCGATGGTTTTTGTGATATGGAAATAGGGGTCATCGTTGGGGATGGCCGTCAGGATGGAGCGGAGCCAAGCATCTCGGGCCTGAAGAAACTTCACCCTCAACTCGGCCTCAGTGAAGATGTCCATGCGCCGCAGGAAGCCAATGACACGGAGGCAGGCCGGGAGCTGGATGCTGGTCCTCAGCTGCTGGATCAGCTGGCTCAGCATCAGCTGCATGGACTGGCGCACCTCGCTCACAATGCCCTGGCAACACAGAGGGAGTCACGCCGCGCTCGGAAAGACACTCCCTGGAGCCCATCCCACGAAGCCTGAAGATTGCAGACCAGCATTCCCCCCGCTTTCCTAATACAGGAAGTACATTTGCTAAAACTGACACACATTGGGTCACCATGGCCCTGCTTCTACCTCACCGGCTTCCTCATGCTCTCCCCTTGCTCACTGCAGTCCAGTCCCACTGGCTGTCTTTGTATTTCTTTTTAAAATAAATTTTTATTGACTTCAGAGAGGAAGGAAGGAGAGACAGAAATATCAATGATGAGAATCATCTATCAATTGGCTGCTTCTTGCATGCCCCCCACCAGGGACCAAGCCCGCAACCTGGGCAAGTCTTCTGACCAAGAATCAAACTGTGACCTCCTGGTTCATAAGTCAACACTCAACCACTGAGCCACCCTGGCTGGGCTGTCTGTATTTTCTAACACTCCAGCTTCCCTCCTCTGCCTGCTGTACTTGTTCTTTCCACTTTT